TGAATGAATAAATAAGGAAGACAAATTTCGGCTTTCCGTTCCGGGCTTTATTTGTCCAAACAAATCTGCCGTCTAATTTTCCACCATATTTGTTTTCATTTCTTCCGTTTTCTGTTATTTGCTGCCGATAAAATGGTGGAACGAGCAGCCAAATATTCCAAGAGGTGGCATTTTGCAGTCAAAGGCAAAAGGCTCAAAAATTATATACATCACAAATCTTGAAAATGGCCGGGTAAAATATCTTTGTGGCGCAGGTGAATGCCCAGGCATATGGAAGAGTAATAAAAGTTAAGCAGACTAGGCTGGGAGTGGGACCATGAATCCTAGAGATCCATTTAAGGGTGATGCTTACGAGGAGGGCTAGAGTTAGGGTCTGGGGTTCGATTGGCGTGAGCGACAGAGAGAAACGAGTATTGATTGTTCATTTCGCTACAGAAATGTTTTCTTGCCATGAATATTTTATCGAGTAAACGCTCCGACGTAGATTTAGTTTTATCGCTGAGTTTGGGAGGGAGTTGAGATAGAATAATAAAAAAAACAGAAGGAAAAATGAATAAAATAAAAACGAATGAACAAACGAACGAACAAACGAACGAAAGAAAGAAAGAAAGAAAGAAAGAAAAAAGAAAGAAAGAAAGAAGAGTTTTGATTAAAAAACAAAAGCAAAGCAAAAGAAAAACAACGGAAGAAAAGACAAAAGAAAATGAAAAAAGAAATATAAAATGAAGGAATGAAGATGAAAATAAAAACAAATAAAATCGAGTCAATAAATATAAATTTTAAAAAATTGTAAAATAAAAATAGAAAATTACCTTGAAAAAAAATTAAGAGAAGCAAAGGAAGAAAGAATTGTCGGTGAATAAGGAAATATAATAAAAAAAAAAGAAAAATACAATATAAAAAAAATGAAAGTCGAAAGGAGCAGATATTTTTATTATAGCGAACGAAAAAAGAAATAAAGGAAAAGAAAAGAAGGAAAACAAAGGAAGTGATGAAGAAAGAAAAACGCAACGACCTTGGTCGTAATTTGAACTCGTCACGCCGATACCCGCTAAGGACGGGCATACTACACACATTGACTGACGGCAACTAACCCAGTTCGGATTGCTTTTAAAATTTTTTTTACAGATTTTGCAGTTAATTTAAAGCCAGAAAATAGTTTTAGATAGTATGAATTATTTGAAGATATTTATGATTTATGGATGCAAATCCTATTATTTAACCAATAGCTGGGGGAGGTAGAAGAGGTGCATTCATATCTTTCCAAAAGGTATTTGCGCGTAAGTGAATATAACGAACCGAGATGTAATTAGAACTCGGATCACCGATTTTCAATTCCGAACCGTTATTCATTATATCACCCGCACATCCCAGCTTACAAGCTGATATTTCGAAGCGGTTACCATATTGTATGCATGTTTATGTTTGGCCGGCTCAGGAGATTTTTGTGGCCTAGCATATACGCTGATTCCTTAAGTTTTCGTATATTACAGTAATGTTCTCTGTTTATTATTTCAACCTCATCCCACAGAGAGCTTCGATCTCCATTTTCCTTCCATATATGGTCAGCTATGCTCATAGAGCCGTTTTTATCAAATGGGGACTTATAAACATACTATCTCATTAACCATTTTTTACCAGAGCTCATATTACAATTTGTTGTTATTGTTTATCTCTAGCATTCCATATTACTGGTTCCTATATTGTATTCATTTCTATGCTTGGTCGACTCAGGAGATTTTTGGGGTTTGGCATATACGCTGATTCCTTAATTTTTCGTATATTCCAATTCCAATGATGTTCTCTGTTTATTATGTCATACTACAAGGAGGCAGTGATCCTTTTTTCCTTTGATATATGGTCGGCTATACCTGATTTATTTGCCCTTTGTAGTCTTACCTGTTCCCCCTTTATATTTCTTAACACAGTTTCACGAGATGGCGCATACAGTCCATAATCATGTTCTCCTCTATGGTCGGGGGTCTTACTCAAAGAGGTGTCTAAATATAGACATTAATGCATTATGGGAACCAGAGTGCTAGAGAAACAACAGAAATAACAAAAAAATTTTAATATGAGCTCTGGTAAAAAACATGTTTACTGAGACATTGGGTTTATAAGACCCCAACATTTGCACAATGATGCCCCAATGGATAAAAGTGTTGGTTGAAGTAACCCAGTGACTCGACCCAAAGAGTTGTGAGTTCAATACCTGGCCACAGCAGAGGTGAACAATAACTTGGAGATTTGAGTTACTAAAGGGAGATAACTGAAACTGAGATATCTAGAAAAGGCATGGCACATGGAAGTAGAACAATCTGCCCCAATGGACGAAATAAAAGGTTAGTTTCGAAATTCCAGTGTATATCACCTGAAGATCAGTGGCAGAAACAACGTGAATATGGCAACAAAGATATAACCTAGGGAAGGGAAGATTACTGAATAGAATAATCAAACGAAGGTTGATAATGAACGATAATACTTAGGACAAGAACAACACATATAAGATTCGCCAGCGGCGCGTAGAAGTAGTAGTCAACCGTTAGAAATAAATTAAGTGAATTCCACAAGGAATCTCCAACTGCCGGATATCTACTTATGCAATGAATATGCATACACCTGGGTTCCCCCTTACAGTAATATGATTGACTGTTGTCAGAAATAAATACAGGCTGATGTGGAAGTATATGGACTATTGTCTACGCCTATTGCCTACCACTACCAGTCCATTACGGTTAGCTGGTAGCTTGTCCTACCCGGTTACAGTAGTGAACAACCAGTGTGCTACATCGAACAAATATATCCCTTTCCGTGAAATATCATTTACCAACCGCCCCACGCGGTCAGATGTGGCACAAAGTCGAATTTAATGTAGGGTATCCAAGGCCGCAAGCGTCGCCAAAAATTCACCGTAGACCCCGTATAAAACAGGGTCGGGGTAGCTGTTTCCCGAGACGAGACTCTGCTCTTCGACATAGCCTCGTCTGGGAATCCTCTCTGTCTGGAGGCAGAGAGTTTGACCAACACAGCTTGAGACGAATCTCCAACTGCAGATCAACATACAGTATTTACTACTATATTTATGTGAACGGGGACATACCCATCATCATCCGTAGGTGTACTACAACAAAAGATGAGGACAATAGTCTGAACAATGTAAATGTAAAATACAATATCGTGTTCTCATTTTTAATGTACGCCGTTACTTCATTACAATATTGTTCGTCATAAGTGATTCAAAAACGAAACGTTTTCATTACGTTCGAGTAATTAATAAACATTTTATCAAGTTTGGGGCTTTTTTCATCATGGTATGCTTTTTTTTTTTAGAAAATCTTTGGAAGTACCTAATTTTAATATTTCTTTCTTTATGACTTTTTTCCATTCTTTTTATTCACATTACTTTCTTTCTTTCTTACACAGGTTTGCTTTTTTTTTCTTTTTCTCCATATTTTTCAATATGTTCGTTTTGCTTTCTCCTTTTTCTGTCTATTTGATTTTTCAATTTTTCTTTTTTCCACAGTTTTGTTTATTTGCTTTTTTCTTTATAGTTCTTTTTTTTTAATATTGCTTTTTTCTCTTTTCTATAATGTTCATTCATTTCTTCTTTCTCTCTTGCATACTTTGCAACTTATTCGGTATTGTGACCTATTTAGCTCCGTTGAGTACATTTCAATGTAAGCAGGAAAGAAAGAATGAAGGAAAGAAAAGAAGTAAAAAAAACAAACAAAAAAAAAACAAGAAAGATAAAGTGAAAAAGAATGAACGAAAGAAAAACTAAAGCATTAATGCAGAAAGGGAAGAAAATGAGGCAGAAAACAAGCAACAACAAAATGAGGCCAGTAAAGAAAGAAAGAAAGAAAGAAAGAAAGAAAGAAAGAAAGAAAATATTCCTTTAGAAAGAGAAGAAAATGATACAAATAAAAAAATAAACAACAAAAGAATCACAATGAAACCAACGAAGAAAAAAGAAAGAAAGAAAGAATGACATTAATATTGAACAGAGAAATTAACGACAAAACCTAATGAGGCCAGTGAAGAAAGAAAGAAACAAAGAAACAAAGAAAGAAAGAAGACATTACTTTAGAAAGAGAAGAAAATGAGGCAGACGAAGAAAAACAACAACAAAACCACAATGAAAACAAAGGAGATAAAAAGAAAGAAACAAACAGAGAAGCTATTAATGTAGAAAGAGAAGAACAGTAAACAGAAGAACAACAAAAACAACAACAACTAAAACGCAGTGAGGCCAGTGAAGAAAGAAAGAAAGAATAAAAAGAAAGAAAGAAAGAAAGAAAGAAGAAAATAGAGTGAAAAATGTGTCTTTTAAGGTGGGATATGTGCGGCATAGAAAAAGTAGGAATGTAAAATGGAGATGTAAAGAGTGACTTAAAATAAAACGATAAGCTAAAGGTTAAAAGAAAGGAGAGGTGGGAAGAAAGAAAGAAAGAAAGCAAACGAACAGAGGAAAAGAAAAATAGAGAGAGAAAGAGAGTTTAAGAAAGAAATGAAACGAATAATACATAAGAACAACCGAATGTCCGGGAGATAGAACATCAGAAAAACCCAAAAGAGAGGGAGAGAGAGGGAGAGAGAGAGAGGAGGAGGATAAAAGAAAAGAAGTGAGAGAGAGAGAGAGAGTCAGAAAAGGAAAGAAAGAACGAGAAAGAGAGAGAGAGAGAGAGAGTGGAGTTAAGAATAAAGAAGAAAAAAAAGAAAAGAAAAGCATAAAACCAAGTCGAAAACTGCGAAAATGAGAGGAGTGGGGGGGGGGTAGGGAATAACCACAATCCGACTGACGTTATTCTACCGACGAAAAACTCTTTTCACGTTCATTATCGTATAAAAACCTGGTCACAATAGCCGGATTAAAAATAATAAAAAAAAAAAAACAGAAAAGTTAACCACATCAAAATCCCTTTCTTTATTTCTGATTTTAGTCGCTGCATTTATGGTTTCCGAGGCAATAAAGCAAACAATTTAAACGACACGAGCCATTAATGACCGAAAGGATCAACGCCGTCCTCCTTTCAAGTAACTAACGCTGGCATTTTTTCTTTTAGCCTAAGTCTAAATTATATCACGCGGCAAAATACGACGCCATATTGCATAATGCCTCTACGCAGGCAATTAGAGTCGCCATCTTGTCCTTATAGTCGATTACTTGCCTTTAGGCAGATTTGCACGGGAGAAATATTCCCGCCTTTTATTTTAGGACTTACATTATATTTCGTTTTTCTTTTTTCTTTCAATTTCATTTTTGTTTATTTATCACTACACCGCAGTTATTTTGTGTCTTTTTTATTTGTTTTCTGTAATCTTTAAAGCTTTCTTTTGTCTTGATCATATTTGACGCCATCTTAATTCCTACCTTCATCCTTTGTTTATTACAGTTCCTTCTTTATTTTTCTTACAGTTCGTTTTCTTTCTTCTTGCTCAGTGTGTATCTTAGGTTCTCTCTCCTATTCAACACTCTCTCACCTCAGCATTGAACTTTTTACTGTTAATCGCTTTTAATTTTTAGTTAAGCTTTCTTCATCAGTTTAGTTTGTATGGCACAAGGCCAAAGGCTGCTTACATTATCTGATCTCCTTAAGCGGTTGATCATTAAAATATTATCTGAGGTGGTGAAACGGTTATTTACGAAATTTAATGACTACGATAGTTGCGGCACTAAGTAAGAATTAAAATCGCTATATGAGTGAACTTGTTCACAAGAGAGGCTTGTTGAATATAGCAAACCAAAAAGAGGCTCTTGTAATTACTAAATCTTTATCTCTCGCTTTCTTTCTTTCTTTCTTTCATTCTTTCTTTCACTTTCGCTATTTCTGCGACTGGATTTACACTTGAAAAAAAGAAAGGAAAAAAAGATCGTGGAAAGGGAATGAAAGTGAAGGAATTATTGAAAAAGAAAGGAGAGGAAAAATGATCAGAAGAAGGGAATGAAAGTGAAGGAATTAAGTTAAAAAATGAAGGAGAGAGAGAGAGAGAGAGAGAGAGAGAGAGGGGGGAAAAAGAGATCGGACGAAGAGAATGAAAGTGAAGTTATTAGAGAAAATAAAGAAGAGAGGCGAAAAAGAGACCAGAGAAGGAAAGTTTCTCTGTTTTCTTTTCAATAATATTTCTCTCTAAATAATAGACTTTCCACCATCTTTTCATTTTCTGTCTACGTCCATCTCTATTTTTCTCTAATTATTTCAATTTCATTCTCCTCCTCTAATATCTTGTTCAATTTGTGCCCTTCTTTCTATTCTCTTATTCCTTCAATTTCTTCCGTTAATCTTTTTTCTTGTTCTCTTACTTTTACTTTAGTTCATTCAATATCATACTCTTTCTCGGGTCACTTTTACCTCTCACTTCTTCTCTCTTTTTCTCTTATTCCTTAACTTTCATTCTCTTCCTCTGATCTCTTTTACCTCTCTCTTCTTTCTTTTTCTCAAATTCCTTCATTTTCATTCCCTTCCGCCGATCATTTTTTCTCTCTTTTCTTTTTCACTTACATTCTTTTCCTGCGTTTTTCCTCACCTTTCTTTTTCGCTAATTCCTTCACTTTCATTCCATCCCTCCGATCATTTTTCTCTTCTTTCTTTTTCCCTAATTCCTTCACTTTCATTCTCTTCCTCCGATCTTTTATCTCTCTCTTCTTTCTTTTTCCCTAATTCCTTCACTTTCATTCTCTTCCTCCGATCTTTTATCTCTCTCTCTCTCTTGTTCTCTAATTCCTTCACTTTCATTCTCTTCCTCCGATCTTTTATCTCTCTCTTCTTTCTTGTTCTCTAATTCCTTCACTTTCATTCTCTTCCTCCGATCTTTTATCTCTCTCTTCTTTCTTGTTCTCTAATTCCTTCACTTTCATTCTCTTCCTCCGATCTTTTATCTCTCTCTTCTTTCTTGTTCTCTAATTCCTTCACTTTCATTCTCTTCCTCCGATCTTTTATCTCTCTCTTCTTTCTTGTTCTCTAATTCCTTCACTTTCATTCTCTTCCTCCGATCTTTTATCTCTCTCTTCTTTCTTGTTCTCTAATTCCTTCACTTTCATTCTCTTCCTCCGATCTTTTATCTCTCTCTTCTTTCTTGTTCTCTAATTCCTTCACTTTCATTCTCTTCCTCCGATCTTTTATCTCTCTCTTCTTTCTTGTTCTCCTAATTCCTTCACTTTCATTCTCTTCCTCCGATCTTTTATCTCTCTCTTCTTTCTTGTTCTCTAATTCCTTCACTTTCATTCTCTTCCTCCGATCTTTTATCTCTCTCTTCTTTCTTGTTCTCTAATTCCTTCACTTTCATTCTCTTCCTCCGATCTTTTATCTCTCTTTCTTTCTTGTTCTCTAATTCCTTCACTTTCATTCTCTTCCTCCGATCTTTTATCTCTCTTTCTTTCTTGTTCTCTAATTCCTTCACTTTCATTCTCTTCCTCCGATCTTTTATCTCTCTCTTCTTTCTTGTTCTCTAATTCCTTCACTTTCATTCTCTTCCTCCGATCTTTTTATCTCTCTCTTCTTTTTTTCCCTAATTCCTTCACTTTCATTCTCTTCCTCCGATCTTTTATCTCTCTCTCTCTCTCTTGTTCTCTAATTCCTTCACTTTCATTCTCTTCCTCCGATCTTTTATCTCTCTCTTCTTTCTTGTTCTCTAATTCCTTCACTTTCATTCTCTTCCTCCGATCTTTTTATCTCTCTCTTCTTTCTTGTTCTCTAATTCCTTCACTTTCATTCTCTTCCTCCGATCTTTTATCTCTCTCTTCTTTCTTGTTCTCTAATTCCTTCACTTTCATTCTCTTCCTCCGATCTTTTATCTCTCTTTCTTTCTTGTTCTCTAATTCCTTCACTTTCATTCTCTTCCTCCGATCTTTTATCTCTCTCTTCTTTCTTGTTCTCTAATTCCTTCACTTTCATTCTCTTCCTCCGATCTTTTATCTCTCTCTTCTTTCTTTTTCCCTAATTCCTTCACTTTCATTCTCTTCCTCCGATCTTTTATCTCTCTCTCTCTCTCTTGTTCTCTAATTCCTTCACTTTCATTCTCTTCCTCCGATCTTTTATCTCTCTCTTCTTTCTTGTTCTCTAATTCCTTCACTTTCATTCTCTTCCTCCGATCTTTTATCTCTCTCTTTCTTTCTTGTTCTCTAATTCCTTCACTTTCATTCTCTTCCTCCGATCTTTTATCTCTCTTTCTTTCTTGTTCTCTAATTCCTTCACTTTCATTCTCTTCCTCCGATCTTTTATCTCTCTCTTCTTTCTTGTTCTCTAATTCCTTCACTTTCATTCTCTTCCTCCGATCTTTTATCTCTCTCTTCTTTTTCTTGTTCTCTAATTCCTTCACTTTCATTCTCTTCCTCCGATCTTTTATCTCTCTCTTCTTTCTTGTTCTCTAATTCCTTCACTTTCATTCTCTTCCTCCGATCTTTTATCTCTCTCTTCTTTCTTTTTTCCCTAATTCCTTCACTTTCATTCTCTTCCTCCGATCTTTTATCTCTCTCTCTCTTTGTTCTCTAATTCCTTCACTTTCATTCTCTTCCTCCGATCTTTTATCTCTCTTCTTTCTTGTTCTCTAATTCCTTCACTTTCATTCTCTTCCTCCGATCTTTTATCTCTCTCTTCTTTCTTGTTCTCTAATTCCTTCACTTTCATTCTCTTCCTCCGATCTTTTTATCTCTCTCTTCTTTCTTGTTCTCTAATTCCTTCACTTTCATTCTCTTCCTCCGATCTTTTATCTCTCTCTTCTTTCTTGTTCTCTAATTCCTTCACTTTCATTCTCTTCCTCCGATCTTTTATCTCTCTTTCTTTCTTGTTCTCTAATTCCTTCACTTTCATTCTCTTCCTCCGATCTTTTATCTCTCTCTTCTTTCTTGTTCTCTAATTCCTTCACTTTCATTCTCTTCCTCCGATCTTTTATCTCTCTCTTTCTTTCTTGTTCTCTAATTCCTTCACTTTCATTCTCTTCCTCCGATCTTTTATCTCTCTCTTCTTTCTTGTTCTCTAATTCCTTCACTTTCATTCTCTTCCTCCGATCTTTTATCTCTCTCTTCTTTCTTGTTCTCTAATTCCTTCACTTTCATTCTCTTCCTCCGATCTTTTATCTCTCTCTTCTTTCTTGTTCTCTAATTCCTTCACTTTCATTCTCTTCCTCCGATCTTTTATCTCTCTCTTCTTTCTTGTTCTCTAATTCCTTCACTTTCATTCTCTTCCTCCGATCTTTTATCTCTCTCTTCTTTCTTTTTCCCTAATTCCTTCACTTTCATTCTCTTCCTCCGATCTTTTATCTCTCTCTTCTTTCTTGTTCTCTAATTCCTTCACTTTCATTCTCTTCCTCCGATCTTTTATCTCTCTCTTCTTTCTTGTTCTCTAATTCCTTCACTTTCATTCTCTTCCTCCGATCTTTTATCTCTCTCTTCTTTCTTGTTCTCTAATTCCTTCACTTTCATTCTCTTCCTCCGATCTTTTATCTCTCTCTTCTTTCTTTTCCCTAATTCCTTCACTTTCATTCTCTTCCTCCGATCTTTCATCTCTCTCTTCTTTCTTGTTCTCTAATTCCTTCACTTTCATTCTCTTCCTCCGATCTTTTATCTCTCTTCTTTCTTGTTCTCTAATTCCTTCACTTTCATTCTCTTCCTCCGATCTTTTATCTCTCTCTTCTTTCTTGTTCTCTAATTCCTTCACTTTCATTCTCTTCCTCCGATCTTTTATCTCTCTCTTCTTTCTTGTTCTCTAATTCCTTCACTTTCATTCTCTTCCTCCGATCTTTTATCTCTCTCTTCTTTCTTGTTCTCTAATTCCTTCACTTTCATTCTCTTCCTCCGATCTTTTATCTCTCTCTTCTTTCTTTTCCCTAATTCCTTCACTTTCATTCTCTTCCTCCGATCTTTTATCTCTCTCTCTTCTTTCTTGTTCTCTAATTCCTTCACTTTCATTCTCTTCCTCCGATCTTTTATCTCTCTCTTTTTCTTTTTCCCTAATTCCTTCACTTTCATTCTCTTCCTCCGATCTTTTATCTCTCTCTTCTTTCTTGTTCTCTAATTCCTTCACTTTCATTCTCTTCCTCGTATCTTTTATCTCTCTCTTCTTTTTGTTCTCTAATTCCTTCACTTTCATTCTCTTCCTCCGATCTTTTATCTCTCTCTTCTTTCTTGTTCTCTAATTCCTTCACTTTCATTCTCTTCCTCCGATCTTTTATCTCTCTCTTCTTTCTTGTTCTCTAATTCCTTCACTTTCATTCTCTTCCTCCGATCTTTTATCTCTCTCTTCTTTCTTGTTCTCTAATTCCTTCACTTTCATTCTCTTCCTCTTGTCTCTTTTTCCTCTGTTCTTCTTTCTTTTCATCTCTAGTTTTCTCACTTCCTACCCTTCTTTTCTTCACTGTCTTTCATTCTTTTTCTCTTCAAATTTTCCCTTCTTCTCCTTTTCTCTTTTTCTCTTTTCCTCCGCTCCTTTCTTCTTTTTTATTTTTATTTTTTTCATTTTCATCATCTTCTTTTATTTCATTACTTTTCCTAAAGAGTTCATGGCTTAATCTCAGACACCATCGATGACAAAAATCCTTCAACAATTCATAACCATATTGTCGTGAAATTTACTGACGCAATATCGTCCCTCTTGACAAGTGTTATTCTTCGATGGTGTCAAAGCTTATGTCTTAATTTTCATCAAGTTTTGTCAGCATCTTTTAATCATATAAATTCATAACATCATTATTCAGACGATTTGGGTATGTTTTATTGTATATAAATTTTCAGTTTCTATTCAGAAAATTCTTTGATTAATTGTCCGATATTTGAGATCCTTTTGGGAGCACTGACCAAACGAGGCGTGTGACATGTCATGAAAGAAATGAAAGTCTGAAAGTAAGAGGCCCGAGGAATATGCTGCATGCATAAGAACTTCTTTCAACAGGATTGATATGCTGTGAAATTAGGCAACCAACCAGCTAATGTGTATTCTATCACAAGAGAACGATATCAGTACTGGTTTCATGAATTCTTTACTAGAACGGTTGACAAGGCGTGTGACATGGAATGAAACAAGAGTTAGTCTGAAATTGACAGGCGTTGACAATATCCTAAACGCGGACGAACTTCTCATCTTACTTTCAGGATCCTTTACTCTGTATTGTAGCAATTTGAGAGCGGGAGTTATGATGAAAGTGACAAGCAAGAACGGTTTTTTCGTTCTGAATACGCCATTTAAACAAGCCAATTGCACTCTGAAGTACTGTAGAAATCTCCCAAATGTATCACAAGGGGCCCCTTTGGAAGACAATCATACCCTGATGACTTTTGTCCAGTAGATGCCATTTAAGTTCAAATTATAGAGTCTAACCTGGATTTAACTATATTTTTTAAAGCAATTCATCCCAATCAAGGCGGGAGTGCCACTAGCACGTAAGGAGTTACAGAGGACTGAGAACAAGAGTAAAGAGGCATGTTTGAGGAAAGGATACAGAGAAGGGCGGGTAACAAGCTCAGGGTGTCAGATGTCGATTGACATTACACTTGAATATTTAAAGATTATAGTTATCAGGGAAGCAAGTAAGGGGAAGGGAGTTCCAGAGACAGGAAGTGCAGGAGAAGAAGCTGTTTGAGTAGAAGAGACGGTTACATTTAACCATTTTAACAGTGAAATGGTAGAACCAAGATGCCAGCCTGGTAGCTCGTTTAAATTCATGTCGTCCGGGAACCAGCGAAAGTTGCTCGTCGGAACAATTGCCGTGAAAATATTTGTAAAAGAGACAGAGGGAAGCCACGGCACGTGTGTGGGATAGCGATTGTAGAGTAGATGCCAGATCAGCAC